CCATGCATTTGGTGTCATCTATAACATCTTTGCAGCTTTAATTCAAGGTCCCAAAGATTTTCTCCTAAGTTATCTTGCAAAAGTTTTGTTTTAGCCCTTACGTTTAAGTCTGTGATCCATTTTGAGTTAACTTTTGTGTAGTGTATGAAGTGAGGCCCACTTTCATCTTTTTTGCATGTGGATATCCAGATTTTCCTAGCACCATTTGTTGAAAGATTGTTCTTTCCCCTGAGTAGTTTTGAAATTGGAAAGTGAAAGTTCTCCAACTTGGTTCTTCTTTTTCAATTATTTTTGGCTAGTCTAGGACTTTTGTAATTTTGTTAAAATGATAGGATCATCTTGTCCAATTTCTTCAAAAAAGCCTGCTGATCTTTTAAAAAAATTTTTTTATAGTATTAAGTCTTCTGATCCATAAATATGAGATGTGTCTCTGTTTATTTATTGGGTTGTCGGAAAAGTCATGATGCATTTTTGCAATGAAAAACATAGAAAAATACGTCATGACTTTTCCGACAACCCAATAGATCTTCTTTAATTTCCCTTAACAATATTTTATACTTTTAGTGTGTAAATGTTGCACTTCTTTTGTTAGGTTTATTCCGACTTTTTTTTTTTTTTTTTTAAATCTGCCTCTGACAGGAGTAAAAAATATAGGATGCTTTGTCACGGAGGTGAGTGGGTGGAGTGTCTGCTCATTTCCACTTTCATCACAGGGGTTGGTTAAATCTGACCTAATACTGATTTTCTTTCAGAAACCCTTGTTACCTGTCAATGTGGTGGTGCGTGCGTGTGTGTGTGTGCGCGTGTGTGTGTTCCACATAAATATTAACTGCCTCATGAATAAGAGCTTGGATAATGGAGCAGGGGTTAAAAATTGAGTTGAAAATATATAAACGTATGTGTTTTAAAATAACTTAAAGACCCAACCAGTAGGGTCACAGCATGTTCCCATGAGGAAGAACGTGTAGCTCATTAGAACTGCAAAGCCGGCCCGTCCTGGGCAGTCTCACGTGATGATATCATTTCTCCCAGGCAGATGCGTGCCACGCCTACCAGATTGTTCACCGCAATGGGATTCCCGATGAGCAAATCATTGTGATGATGTATGACGACATTGCCAATTCTGAGGAGTAAGTACCAGGCACTTTCAACTTGAAAGTTGAAAGGACTTTAGGGCATTAAAAAAAAAATGCATGTAGACTCTCGGGAATCCTTAGATCAGTGGCCTCTCTTTAGGGTATAAACAGACTCACAGGTGAAATTCCCCAGGGGTGGTTCACACAGGGCTTTGAACATAACTCGGGGCACCCTGGTGGTGGCAGGGACATGGGTAGTGGGTGCTAAAGCGTGTTTGGGGCTGGTGCTTTGGAAGGCTTGAAAGCATAGGATCCTTCCCAGCTTGGAGAACTCATCATTGGATTCTGCAGGGCTTGTTCCTGACCTCCGAGCAGGTGGACAGCACAGAGGGGACACCTTAGCAGCCTGTATGAAAAAGGCTTGTTTGTAGGTTGGATCCCACTACCCTTCATTATATACCTATTTACATTTATTATTCGTTGACTCTAATTGTACACATCCTTCTCTCATGCTGCTCACCTGATTTCTTGAGGAGATCAGGAACAGCAAGTATGGTACCCAACCAGCGCTAGTCTCCCCAGCCCCTCGGCCACTCTGCTGCGGCCCCCACGAAGGGTACTGCCCTTACTGTGACCACAGGACAGCTCGTAACGCATTCTGAGCCTTCAGACCTCAGCTTTTGTATCGAAGCCTTGTCTTCTGACCTATTTCTGCAAGTCATTTTGCTCCGAGAGATCACTTTGTGATATCTTGCCCCTGAGATGCTGTGTGGTTTCCTCTAGCAGGAGGCCAGGCACACCTGGGCCTTGGACCCTGTCCTGGGTGTTAGGACTCAGCCCTTCACTGCTCCTGCCAAGAGCTCAGCTTGTGGGATGCCCCATCTGCTGAAACCACCCACACTTGGTGACCGTTCAGGCAGTGAGCAGTGTGTTTGGCAAACATGGTCCATTGCTATTTTTATACATAATGGGGGCGTGTTTTTGAAGGGAGAGATTTCAGGTACTATGCACATTTTGTGCTTCAGTTGTGTCCTTTGATTTTCAGCAATCCCACTCCAGGCATTGTGATCAACAGGCCCAATGGCTCGGATGTGTATGAGGGAGTCCTGAAGGACTACACCGGCGAGGTGAGCTGGCGTGCGGGGTGGGCGCCGGTGGGGTTTCTGTTCATTTCCATGATGGTTTTTCCCTCTTCCGTGGGTTTCTAGAACCAGAGCTTCACCAGACTGATTTCTGGTCAGTGTTTCGTATTGGTAGTAAGATTTGTGCTTGAGGAGTAATTTCTGAGAGCTCTAAAAAAAGCAGAGGAAAATAAAAGGATAAAGGTAGAAATAAGTTGTAGTTTACCAACCTTTAGTTTCCGGTCTTCTTATACTTTAAGCCAATAATCCATTTCCTTAATCTCTGTTTTTTTTGAGGTATTGCTGTTTATATGATTAGGTATTATCTGTGCTCTTCTCTGTAAATCAGTTCTCAGCACCAGCCCTGTGGAAAGCTCCGGAAAGTTCCGGATTTTGCTGAGATAGTTTTTTGGTTTTTATTATTATTATTATTATTATTATTATTATTATTATTATTATATCACTTGATTATATCCCTTCCAGTTGAGGCTGTATAAATTGACACATTTTTAAAAGCACTATAATGACTTCAGCTCCATAGTTTTCATTGTCCCTTTTTCTTAATATCAGAGGGATCTTTTAGGAACCTATATTCCTGGTGATCTTTTAGGAACTAATATCAGAGGGATCTTTTATGAACGTTTATTTGAAGTGTAGCAGTTCTTTCAGTTTCAGTTTTCTCTAAATTCAAGTACAGTTAAATTGAACACATCATATATGTAATATAAGTATCCCACTTTTACAAAATTGTTTCTCTATTATATAAAGAAATGTCTGTGGAGTCTAAGTGGTGGAATGTTTGGTGATTTTTTTTTTTTCTTTGTGCGTTTTGTATCAAGTTACAAAATCTCATTTAAGGACATCAAATGTCCTTGGGATTCTGCCTTTTAGGCAGCAGCTTGCAAAGGGAAGGGCCCAGCGCTGACGGTTCTGCTTCCTCTTTGCTCTCTCCTGAGGTGGTCCGCTTTTCCTCTGCCATTTGTCCCTACTGACCAGCATATTTGTGTTTCTCCACGTGGACTTTATAATGGTCAGTAAGGAATGGCAGCCTTGCTGAGTTGCTGTCAGCCGAAGACAAGCTGGTATTTGAGAAGAGGTCGTGCACATACTCCATAAACACTGACCTTGATTTAGGTCTTTCTTGGCTCTGAAGTGTTTGCTCCTAGCCTCGAGCCTTTGGAGCTGTGTGGGTTGGCGGTCTGGGTCAGCTCCAGACTCAGCGAATGCCCCAAGTTGGCACGACAACTGCATCTGAGTTCAACTCCCAATTCTTTGTAGGATGTCACCCCGCAAAATTTTCTTGCTGTGTTGAGAGGTGATGCAGAAGCAGTGAAGGGCAAAGGATCTGGAAAGGTCTTGAAGAGGTAAGGTCTGTTTTATGGCTGTCACACTTTTCTGAATGATCTGGCACCTTAGAATAGAGAAAGGAAACAGGCATTGTTCTTGGCTCCCTGCCTGTTGACCATGAAAAACGGCCGACTTGAGACAGGCTCCACAGGACTGATGGCTTTTTTGGCAGCCCATTTCTGTACCAAATTAACCCTATGATCCAGGGTCCTTCATTCTTAATGAAACGCTGCCCATCACTTAAACCCACTGCTTTTTGTCGTCCATGGACCCTAGAGCTGGTACATCCCACCCCCAGTGGAATGCGCTGAGACAGGCAGGAAGCCCTGTGGCCGGTCAGGTTGCAGGGCGTGGCCTGCCGCCAGCCCTGTGATCACAGGTCAACGCCGTGGGGAGGCACCGTTCATAAGGATGCAGCTAACCTTCGTATCAGGGAAAACTAACCCCAGTGCTTGCCCGCCAGCCATGGGCTAGCGGTGTCTTGTTTAGTATCAGTTTATGGAGCGTTTCTATGTGATGTCAGGTCTTCAATAGCATGCCTTCAGAGAGTATCATGGTGTTGTTTCTATCAAGCTAGAGGGGAGACGTCAACACAAGTAAGCTGGTGTGAGTTAGAGCAGAGACAGACATCTCTATGGGATGAAGCAAATTGGTTCCAAGTGATTTATCACATCTCTGCAACCTTGAAGCAGTGCCCTCTGAGTGGAGTGGACGCCCTGGTGAAGGGCGCACATGGGCGTCCCAGGCTGTGTGCAGGCTGAGGGGCCCCGGAGGGGATGTTGGAGCTGCAAGACTGTGTTTGGCTGTGTGTCCTTGCTCCCTTGTTCATTTTGGGGAGATCTTGCTGGAGAGTATGGCTACCTGGATGAGGCGCAATTGCCAAAGGACCCCACTATCCATATCACACCCAGTCTGTCAACCAAGGTCGCTCTTCCTCCCCGGCCATGATTCCAAGAGTTCCAAGGCTCTGGCATATGCCTGTGGCTCAGAATAGCACTCAGTGGGAGCGTTCCTTTCTGTACCTGGTAGGGAGACTGTCATCCTCAGACTTCTTCCTAGTTTTTTGATAAGGGAAACTTTTCAGAGACGCGGAAGGAAAAACAGAAATAGAACACGGTCGGCTTTGACTCGTGTCTGTTCTCTCTTGGCAGCGGCCCCCGGGATCATGTGTTCGTTTACTTCACCGATCATGGAGCTACTGGATTACTGGCTTTTCCTAACGATGATGTGAGTTTTTCTTAACACTGTAAAGACAAACTAGGAGAATGGAAAATAAAACCTTGGTGTTGACATTAAAGCTGAGACATGGGTTTCTAACGTCCATGGGGTCTAGTACCAGGGTGCTATGTGTGGCAGGTGAGCATAAGAGGCACATTGCAATCTGTCCAGAGGCATCTCTTCTGGCAGGTTTTCCCTGCATTTCTCTTCATATCCCAGCATCAGGAGCTGGCTCAGGACTTGGGAGTGTTGTACTAGACGCAGTGATATAATAGAACACTGTCTCTGAAATGCTCTGGACAAAGTCATGAGCGAGGAAGCACATTCTCCTCCCCTTTTAAAATATGAACAAAACACTTGCGATGACATTGTGGAATAATGCTGTTCACTATGATTATTTCCAAGGATGGGTAAATAAGAATTTACACAGCACCCTCAGGAGACTTTGTTAGTGGGTTAGCCAGCAAATGGTTTCTCTTGAGGTCTTGACCTGAATGTCAGTGTTCTTACCTTTCAGCTTCATGTCAAGGACCTGAATCATACCATCCGTTACATGCACAAACACAAGATGTACCAGAAGGTAACGTCAGCATCTAGGGCGGCTGTGAGGGAGGGCTGTGAGGGAGGCAGTGGGTGGAAGCAACCCGCTGTTCCCCCCGCCGGACTTCTAACTGGATGGCTGTGTTTTCTGGAAGGGGTGTCCTTTCGGTCAGCCTGGCTTCCCAGGATTAACCTTTGCCGATTCTCAGGCTTTAGTTTTTGGATCAGAATCACTGCAGATCTTGTTACAACAGAGTGTGGGTTCCACCCCCGGAGTTTGACTCAGGTCTGGGGAGAAGCCTGAGATTTGACTTTTCTGAGTTGACACTGACACTGCTGGTCCAGAAACCACACTGTGAGGACTCATGTTCCTATAACTGGCACCAGTTTGGGGCAGTTGGGGAGGAAAATACCACCATCTTATTTCCACTTTGGCCTTCACTCACCCCATGGCACCCATTATAGAAGCTGCATAGCTCGGGCGCGTACATGGTAGTAACGTTGAATGATGGCTTCCGCCCTGTCTCCCTGTGCTGGACAGTGTCTGTGGCTCCATTTCCTCTGCATTATCTCAGCTAATAGATCATTTTATTGTATTAGCGATGAATACAATTTGCGTCCTTCTGGTTTGTATGACAACAGCTTCTGTAACCTCTGGCAGCAGCCTCTTAGAGCAGAAATGTCTCCCAGAGCAAAAGTGAAACACCTCTAAGAATGGGTCAAGAGAGTGGGGAGAGTCTAGCGATGGCACGAGGTCTGCCTGGCTGGTGCATGAGGCCAACTGTCTCTTTCGCTTCACAGATGGTGTTCTACATCGAAGCCTGTGAGTCTGGGTCTATGATGAGTGACCTGCCCAGCGACATCAATGGTAGGTGGTGGCAGCCCTGGCCTCTGAGCCAGGCTGGGTGAGCACATTGCTCAGTGGTGCAGTTGGTCATTCTCTTACTCTGCCAACGTGAAGAGCCAAGTGTTCTACATAAGCAGGGGCCCCGGGCAGCCAGTGTGGAAGTGGGGAGATAGGTGTGGGCAGCTCTGGACTCCCTCTACTCCTTGAGGATTAGTGGCCAGAGAGCAAGGAATCTGCACGTGAGCTTCATGGTGCCCTTCCAGGTTCTGAAAGTTCCTTAAGTCCAGAGTCGCACAGTCTGGACTCGTCTTGGTCCTTTGCAACATGTTGCCTGCTGGCTGTCTGATCTTGGGCATGTGACTTACCCTCCTTGACCTTTAGTTATCCCCACCTGTAAAATGTGGATAAAGATTGGATCTATTTGTGTGTTTATCATTTTAAGTGATAACATCCATCCAGCACAATTCCGAGCCCATGGTAGCTATTGCATAGGTTCTATCTAACTGTTTCTTCCATAAATATTAATTTTCTCCAGAAACGAAGTCACCAGAGCTGTTAAAATCTTGCAGCATTATTCCAAAATAGCTTGATGTCCTAGGAAGCATGCCTGCTTGCTTTTTGCTACAGAATATGTCTATCAATTGGCTTCTCTTTCTGCCACATGTCCTCTTAGACGAATTATCGTAATGGAGTGAACGGCGCTGGCTGCAGTGATGTCTCCCCGTCCTCCGGATGCTGACTTTAAGCAGCACACTGATTACACTAGGAAAGAAGGAAAGACCCAAGCTGCGAGTGCAGTCCACAGCAGGGTATAAAACGTGACCAAAACATGTCATTAATTCCTTATAGTTTATGCAACTACTGCCGCCAATCCTGACGAGTCATCCTACGCCTGTTACTACGATGAGCAGAGGTCCACATACCTGGGGGACTGGTACAGTGTCAACTGGATGGAAGACTCGGATGTGGTGAGCCCTTTGGGTGCCTGCTGTTTAGCTGAGTCTTGACCATCACTCTGATGGTTGAAGGACTTTCCTGTTACCTTTTTTCAGGAGGACTTGACCCAGGAGTCTCTCCACAAGCAGTACCAGCTGGTCAAATCCCACACCAACACCAGCCATGTCATGCAGTACGGAAACAAGGTGAGTAGGGGAGCCTTGCAGTCTTGTTGTCAGTTCCTCAAGTCCCCAGCTGACTCACCTGGAACGTTTATCTCTTGGTGAAGAGAAATTGGGATCCAGGTGAGAAATGGCTGAGGCAAGGGGGGCTGTGCCTCTCATGGCCACACCATCCTGGGGACCCTGTTGGGACTTTGGAATCAGACCTGGCGAGGTTCAAACTTGCCAAGTGGTGAGGCTTTGGGCAAGCTACCTAGCCTCTCTGAATCTCCGTGTCCTCCATGGTCGGATCCCTCGTGCACTAAAGAAGGGTGTGCATCAAAAGCGCTAAACACAGGCCAGGCACCCATGGAGAGGTTACTGAATCGAAACCTTTTCCAGCTTCCATGGCATGGCCCTCTCGAGCCTCACCCCTTGGATTCTCCGGGGTCCTGCCTCCCTGCAAGTTGCAGGGTGTTACCTTTACCCTTTGGCTATAAATTAGAGACTTGTTTCCCCTTCAACTATGTCCAAGAAGGGGCCTAGGTTGTTAAATAGGCGTGTTTATCAGGGCTGTTTGGACAAGGTCGCAGCAGGTGCCTGAAGGCTTGGGCCATAGGTGGCAGCTCCAGCTTTAGCTCTGCTCGGCTCAGAGGACCAGCTCTCAGCTCTAACCTGGACAGATGCTTTGCACCTTCCTACTGCTGGTCACTAGGGACAGGCGATGAGCGTGGGGGCTGAGCACAACCCAGGGTTGCCACTGGCTGAAACAGCCCTGGCCCACACTGTGTGTGACCGTAGAGGAGCAGTTGCCTTGCATGTAGGAAAGAATAGTATTTCTGTTGCAAAAGGTGCCCGGCATTTTTGAAGTTCATCATTGGTGGGTTTCAGGTGCTCAAACATGTTGCCTTGCCTGCTGCTGGCACGTGTGTTCAGGCTGCGACTGTGGCCCTTCAGTGGTCCTGAACCGTGGACCTCTGGGACCCAGGATGCGTTTGGTACACCTGCTCTTCCCTCTCAACTCGGCTTTCTCTCTCTCTCCTCGCCTCAGTCCATCTCTACCATGAAGCTGATGCAGTTTCAGGGAATGAAACACAAAGCCAGTTCTCCTATCTCCCTACCTCCGGTCCAACACCTTGACCTCACTCCGAGCCCTGAGGTGCCCCTCATGATCATGAAAAGGAAACTGATGTCCACCAATGATCTGCAGGAGTCCAGGCGTCTTGTTGAGGAGATCCACATGCATCTGGAGGTAAGTCGTGGTCAGAGATGCTGCTCTGCCTCCTGACCATTACCCAGTGTTGCTCAGAGCCAGGTGACAGAACTCTGGGGCCACCCCACCATCTGCTGCATGGGAGTATGTGGGAGAGAAACTGGCCTTTCTACTCTATGTAAATAGAAGTGAGTGGGTGGAGCAGTGGTTGTCTTCATTCTTCATTGGTAAAGTGATCTTGACCTCTGTGGTAGCAGGAAGCAAAGAAATTGGGGGCTGGTCTCCTGTATGCTGCCAAGAGGCCATGGCAGATGGGCGTTTTTGTCTTTTGTACCTAGTTGTGTAGAAGATATTTTAATTTTGCTGCTTACTGAGTTCTTAGCTAATCATATTTTTTAGAAAATCCAATCCATCAAAAATTTCTACTGCCTTAGGAAATCATAGTCATAGCCTAAAAGTCTTCTTGTTTTCTGTCACTTCTCCATTTGTTTGGAACTGGCAGAATTACTTGTCAGATTCCAGCTGTGTGGCCAGAACCACTGGGAGCGCACTCGCTGGGCTGCTGGGTGGAGGCTGACTGTCCCTTCCAACAGAGCTGGCTCAGTGGCAGCCTGTCCCCTCATCAGCACAGCACAGGGGTTGATGGACTGGAACATGGCCTGTGTTTTCAGGGAAAGATAAAAAAATCTGTGTGACCTGTTTTAAATTCATAGATCTAATAATCCCGACAATTAGTCCCTCACACTCTAGTGGTATATTAACCAGGGCATAGTTTCTTTTTTTTTTAGATTTTATTGGAGGAGGGGAACAGTGTTGGGGAATTGGGGAACGGGAACAGCAAAGTTGTTGTCCTTCAGTCTTAATTGGGGAGGGTGCAGCTAGCTCAGCTCCAAGTCCAGTCGCCCTCCGGCCGCCCATCGGCAGCTTGTGGCCACTCAGCTCAAGGTGCCATGTTCAATCTTAGTTACAGGGAATGCAGCCCACCATCCTGTGCGGGAGTTGAACCAGCAGCGTTGTTGTTAGGAGCACGTGCTCTCACTAGCTGAGCCATCCTGCCGCCTGTTGGCAACTCAGCAGCAGCTCTGCTTGGGCACAGCTCACTGGCCCATGTGGGAATCGAACCAGCGACCCTGTTGCTCAGAGCTCATGCTCTTAACCAACTGAGCCACTCGGCCGGCCCTGACAAGGGCATGTTTTTTTTTCTTGGAGCCACAGTGTAATACAGCAATCCTCAAACTTCCTAGCCTTGGACCTCTTCACATTTTAAAAATCATTCATCCCACAGAGCTTATGTTGATGTGGGTTATATCACTATTTTCTGCATTAGAAATGAACACTTGAGATTTAAAAAATATTAACTCATTTAGAAATGACAGTAAAAGATGTATTTTGTGTTAATGTTTTTTTATGAAAAGTAACCATTTTCTGAAATGAAAACCATCTTGGTGGGAAGAGTGGCCTCACTTCACGTCTCTTTTCTGCCCAGTGTAGTAGAAGACAGCTGGGGTCTTGGCCTGCTTCCGCCTCCCCTCTCTTGGGCCCCATTGTTGTGGCTGAAGTACATGAGGAAAACCCAGCCTCGCACAGTTACATAGTTGGGAAAAGGGGGACCTCCTGGGACCCTGAGAGGTCTGGGGGCCCTCCGTGGTTCTGGACCACCAACTCGTCTGACACACAGTGGGCAGTGAGTCCTTGTGACAGTCAGACCTGGGTGAAACGCACCCTGGCTGGGGATGGTAAGAGGACGTGATTGTAAATTTTGGTTAATGAAGGAGCAACTCTCTCTATATGATGCTGGTTTTCGTCATTGGGGGAGGAAACAGTGAGCCTCCCTTTGTGTCCCTCTGTGTGACCTTTCAATGGTCTCTGGAATGGACAAAGGTGTCTGTGAATACATAGCACCATTCATGGGACAATAGTCTACTTTGGGGCACAATTTCTACGCCCCGCTGCCCCCCGCCTTTCCTCAGAGTGGGTCATGCCTGCTCTTCAGGAATTTAGATGTAAAGGTTTCCATCATGCCAGGTGGTCCCGAAACGGCACGGTGTTTCTAAAGGCTTCTAGCCATCGTGGAAGCTTCGTGCACATGTTTTGCTCCTTGCAGAACGCAGCTGTCGGTATCTCTTAACCTGCTGGGGTGGGGGCTGAGAGAAGAGAAGCTTCTTGCCCATCCAGGGTTCCAAGAGGCTGTGTGAAGTAAGATATATTTAGAAAAGATGCGTTTCTTCACAGACCAGGCACATCATTGAGAAGTCCGTGCGAAAGATTGTCTCCTTGCTCGTGGGGTCTGATGACGAGGTGGAGAGGCTGCTGTCTCAGAAAGCCCCACTCACGGCTCACGACTGCTACCAGGCAGCCGTGTCACACTTCCGCACGTTCTGCTTTAACTGGCACTCCCCCACGGTAAGCCCAGGCCCCTGGCGGCCGCCATCTTCTGCACCCCAGCTTCTGTGGGCCAGCTTGGCCTTTCCCTGCCATTGTAAACCCAAAAGTTAAATTAATACTGTCTATTGGAAATCATATCTGATGCATTACCTTGTAGAAGGTTCCACCCAGGCTAAGGAAACCATGAGCTCATTCAGAGGCCTTTGACGGGGATGAGAGGAAGAAGGTTGTCCAAATTCACTGACCATAAACCCTGGCCCTAGACACTCTTAATTGTCCCAGTGGACAGGAGTTTACCAGTCGTAGATGACTCAGCTCCCATTCTCTTCACACTTTGGCTGTCCCTGCCACACCCCACTGCTTACCCTACCCTCACACCAGCCACACAGGTTTTTCTCCCGTTCGCGTCTGTTCTGACTCCTCCTCGAGATTTATTGTTGTAGTCAAGCCCTGGCCTGTGGGGGAGAAGAAGGTACCAAGTTTCTGCAGATTGTAGAATGTCAGGGTTGGAAGGTACCTATAAAGACTTCTGGTTGGTGTTGTGTGATGCTGGTTTCTGCAAATTGTAAAATGTCAGGGTTGGAAGGTACCTAAAAAGCCTCCTCTATGGTAAGTACCATAGGATGCTTGGATCCTCCTAGGGAAAGGATCAGCAAACTGTGGCCCACAGGCCAAGGCATGCCCACAGCCTATTGCCCCACCCCACAAGCCTGTTTTTATAAATAAAGTTTTATTGGAACACAGCCATGCGCTACTCAGTCACATAGTGTCTCTCTGGCTGCCTTCACCCTGCAGCAGAGTTAAGAAGCTCCTACAGCCCACAAAGACTAAGGTATTACTGTCTCCTTTCCAGAAAAAGTTTGCCACTTCCTGCTTTAGAGCTGCGTTCTTCAGTGTGGTAGTCACTAGCCTCATGTGGCTACTTAAATTGAATTTAAATGAATTAAAATGAAATAAAATTTAAAGCTTAGTTCTTTAGCCACACTAACCACATTTCAAGGTTTTTGTTTGTTTGTTTGTTTTTTTCTCCTTTTCAAGTGTTCAGTTGCCATCTGTGACTGGTGGCTACCGAACTGGAGAATTTATAAAATTTCCACCGTTGCAGACAGCTCTGTTCGGCTCTGACGTGTGCACCACAGTCGTGCTTGGATACTCCCAAGGGTGGAGCACTGGGCACTCTGGAGGGAGTTGTCCTTTCTTGGGAAGCACCCCATTTTGTTTTTTCACTTATTTAACCAAGTACTTTCCTCCTTTATTGAATAAAGTTTCCCATTTATTTAATACTTTATCCTCCGGTGTTACTTGTTTGCCCTCTGGAATCACACAAAGTGAATCCTCCCTCCTTCCTCACGGGAGCTCTCAGACCCCCCTGAAGTTTTTTTTCAAGCTCAGCATCCCCAGTTATTTTGGTCTTTTCTGTTCCGGTCCAGTTCAGCCTTCTCTTACCACTTGTCTCCCTCATCAGTGTGTGCCTCCCAGAGTGAGGTTCCCAGAACCAAAAGCCAGACAGCCATGGGAGGTGCCAAGTACTACAGAGAGTTGTCAATCAGGAGTTCTAACCTGGGACTGAGAGGCCTGCCGGCCCCGTGCATTGGTGCATTTTTAGGGGGAGATGGTTCATAAATCTTACCAGATTATCAAAAGGTGCGGGGGTGGGGGGAGGGTCCATGACCCAAAAAAAAGGCCCAGAACCATTGGTCAAGATGCTCTATCCCTGTAACCACAAAGGTGGGGTGTTACTAAGAGTTGATTGTAGGGTGAAATGCCGATGTTTGATTGTGTCTTTATGTCTGTTTTTCTCCAGTACGAGTATGCTTTGAGACATTTGTACGTGCTGGTCAACCTTTGTGAAAAACCGTATCCAGTTGACAGGTAAATCAGCACATGGCTTTGAAGCGTCAGGGTCACTCAGAGCAGAAAGGAGCGGTGCTGCTGTGCTTTCCTGCAAGTGGTTAGCTTTGCTTCTGCTACATACTACGTCTAACTGGGAGAACTCAGAGCTGACGCATTCTCAGTGATAACCGTGGGGTGGGCCCGTTGCTGATGGCTGCCTGTGCCATGTGGAGTTTTGTCGTAGTTTCTTCAGAGTTGACAAGGATCACCAACTTCTTCCTGCTTCTTACAGGATAAAATCATCCATGGACAAGGTGTGCCTTGGTTACTACTGAAACGCTGCCTTCTTGATGCTTCTCCAAGTGTGAACACCGTCCCTGGGGATGCATGCTAATCAGAGACTGAAGAGGTGGAGCGAGGCAGAAGCAAACCCCAGCAGCTCCAGGCCTCCTGGGGCCGCAGCCCAGGCCTGTCTTGTCACAAGCGGGCTTGCTGCCCTTCCCCTACTGCCCTGGTCTCCTGCAGGTCCCGTGTGATGCTCTGAGAACCTACAGAGGTGGCCGGGCAAAGCTCTGTGTTGAGAAAGGTCCATTTGATTTTTTAAAGTCTTTTCCCATTAGTTTTAAGGAACGAGAGATCCATTCACTGGGGCTTCTTAGCCAGTGAACTTAGCCGAGGAAGTTGAACCTGGAGCCTCTTAAGTCTTCAGAATGATTTTACTGAAGGGGGACATAAACCCCAAATGGAAAACTGTTTTTCGAAAATAATATAATTTTTAATTGCTTTTGTATTTTATTCCCCAATGAGGACATGTCTTAAAAAAATAAAGATGATGACTGACCCCCAGTGCTCATCCCGGGCCCTGATTTCACAGTGTGTGCCCCCGGCCACATCCCCCGCCTCCCTTCCACCCTCTGCCGCCTGCTCCTCTGCTCCTTGGGCTCCGCAGCCCCCTGTGCCTTCGCCTCCTGCACTTTCTCCTGCCCTGGAGCACCTTGCCCTCCACCGGGCAGACCCTCGAGGTGGGTCTGCAAGTACTGCTTCTCCCTCGAACCTCCTTCAGCGTCCTCTCTGCACCCGTCAGAAGGCCCCGCTCCTCTGTCTGTGTGCATGTTCTTTAGTCTCCACAGTGCGTGTCAGGGTCTGCCCTTATACCACGTGCGGGGCTGGAGGCTGCCTGACCCGTCTGTGTTTCCCATGGCGCAGTGCTCCTCACGGGGTGCTCGCGGTGGGTTTGTGAAAGACGTGTAAGAGGAGCACTAACCATGTCCGCGCCGTGGCGTGTCGTGCAGCAGTGAGAAGGCAGGGAGCACTAGAGCCATGCTGCAGCAGTAAGCCGCGCGAGAAGCCCATCGCAAAGGCCACATGTTCTATGATTCCTTGATATCTAGTGTCCAGAATAAGCAAATCGAGACGCAGAAAGCAGATGACTGGGGAGAGGGAATCGGGAAATGGTGACTGCTGATGGCCGTAAGGGTTCTTCCCGAGGTGATGAAAATGTTCTAAAATTGATTATGGTGATGAATGTACAACTCTGAATATACTAAAAACCAAACTGTACATGGTAATTGAAATTCTGTGGTCTGTTAATTATATTTTAAGAAAGCTGTTTTAAAAAGCTAGATGCTATTTAGGTAGAGAGATAAAGAAAGCCAAGAAGAAAAGTAACTCTACATGCGACACTTATGACCGCCTGTCTTATATAGTGAAACCTGCCTTATTTAGCAATGATTGACGCCTTTGAAGTTTGGAGTTGAATGGAATGAAAGGTGAGATACTGACAGATAGGGTTATGTCTGTGACAAATTCAAGGGTGATACATGGGTTTTTAATGGGCCGATTTTTAATCAGCATGAACAGATGGATCCTTTCTCGGGAAGGTTGTAATCATAGGGCTAATCAAATGACTTTAGGTTAAAGAACTCTTATTGTCCTACAGATTTTGGGTGCTCTAGGGTTTTTAGTAACAAGTACAATAAGCTTATTTGCATGGGCTTATCGCTAATGCTCACCAGTGGGCAACCCCAGGGCTGGCTGATGTTCAAAGAAATGCAAATACTTAAAAGGAGAATTTTTAAAGGGAGTATCTTAAAATGCCTCAAGATACAAGTGGTAAAAGCTCTTTTTTTCTAGACTGGTTAACTACTCTATTATTATTATTTTTTATTATTATTATTACTATTATTATTATAGTTTCAGGTGTACAAAACAATGCAATAGTTATCTTTTTCTCCCCTCACAAAGTCTCTTGACCCTACTTATTTTTATTTGTCCTTCCTGTAGAACAAAAGTATACTTACCTATTTAACAAATACAGAAGCTTGAATGTTTGTGGTTCTAAAGAGTAAAAGCAGTTATGTGTCATTTGTCAAATAAATGACAATTTCATAAGTCACAATGCCTTGACTTTTTCTCCTGTGGTTCATAGGGCCCCAGTAGAAATGGGCTCTCCAGCCCTTGTATTAAGCCATTTCTATCAGATTTCTAATAAGGGTGACCGTTCTATGTGGTCACAACTAGGATCAGTATTTTTTTTTTTCTGATTAAAGTGTACAAACATGCTTTTCTGGCACAAGAGGTACATAGCACAGAAACATCCAGAGGAAAACGTGGCTACCACTTTCCTCCTTAGAAATCCCAAATGTCAGTGTGGTGTTCATCAAGAGTCCCCTTTCTACATATTTACATAACTATATACAAATTACCCTTTATTTTTTACCTTTTTATTAGAAAACATTTTCAAAATCCATACAAAACAAGTGTATTGCTTAGTGAATTATAAGGTGAACACCCTTGTAACTACCACTCAAGTCAAGAAGTAGAATTTTCCCAGCCGTGTTAGTCAAGGAACTTAAGAAACAAAACCAACAAGATGCGTATACATATGCAAGTAGGTAGAGAGATTTATCTTAAAGAATTGGCTCATACAATTGTGGAGACTTGGTAAATCCAAAATTGCAGGCTGGAGACCCAGAGAGAAGTTAACAGTTTGAGTCCAAAGGCCGTCTTGCTGGTAGGCTTCCTTCTCGATCAGCGAATGTCCATCTTTCTCTTAAAGGCTTCAACTGATTGGACGGGGCCCACCCACATTATGGAGGGTCATCTGCTTTACTCAATCTACTGATTGATTTATTTTATTAGTTTCAGGTGTACAAAACAATGTGATAGCTATACATTTCACCCCTCACAAAGTGATAATCCCCCTCCCCCAATCTATTGCCCCTCTGACATCATACATATCTATTACAATTCCATTGACTCCATTCCTCACACTCTACTCCATGTCCCGTGACTATATATATATATATAAAATTATAGTTGACATACAATATTATTCAGCTTCAGCTTCAGGCATACAGTGCAGTGGTCAAGCCTCTACACAGTCCATGGAGCGGTCTCAAGAAGACACGTCCCCATCTGACACCCTAGAAATATTTACATTATTGATTATATTCCCCAAACTGTCTCATATCCCTGTGACGATATTGTAGTTACCAATTTATGCTGTCTAATCCCTTCCCCTTTGCCCTCATCCCCACCCCCCTCCCATCCAGCAACCATCAGTTTTTCCTCTATATCTCTGAGATTATTTCAGTTTGCTCATTTATTCAGTTCAAAGTCTACTGATTTAAATGTTAATCTCATCCAAACAACAACAACATCCAGAATAATGTTTGAAAAAATATCTGGGCACTGTGTCCCAGCCCAATTGATTCATAAAATTAACCATCACCCCAGCCACCCCAGAAGCCCCTTCTCCATCCCAGTTGCAGCATCCCTCCCGCTCCCTGTGTTCCTTGTGGTTTTATCACAAGTGTGCATCCATCGTCTCATCTTTCCCACTTAAAAAAAAATAACGGTCATGTCTTTCCAGCCTTTGACCTACAGGCTTCCACCTCATCCCTTCTTCCAGTTTCTGTTGAAGAACCCAGGCTGTTTGTGGAGTTCTCGGTCTGGATTTTGCTGATTGCATACTCATGGTCCCTTTCAGCACGTTTTTCTGACCCCCGTGTCTCTTACAAATCAGCGGCTGGGTGCAGAGGCTTGAGCAGACCTTGGTCTGGTCTTTTTGGAGAGGTTAGAGGTGGGGCAGGCTGTTTCCTGAGGCACACTGGGGCTGGGTTTCGCTCCTGTCTGATGTTATTACTTGTTGATGCTCAATGCCTAGATCCACTCATTCACTGAGAAATTGCAAACTGGTGCAATTCCATCATTTTGTTTTCATTTGTTGGCTGGAATACTTGATCAGGAATCACTTCCCCTTACCTGCTATACCCACCGGTGTAGCTCATGTTGGAAAGACAGGAAAAACTCAGTTCTGTCCTCTTATTTACCTAGTTGTTCGAATTGTTCCCTTTCTTCCTCAAAAGGTGACCCAGTAAGCTTCCTAACTATCATTTTGAACTCGTGGATTTAAACACATCTAATGGGGTTCCGTCCATTGCACTTATTGATTGAAGCTCAAAGTGTTCTTTTTTGGTTGACAGAATCTTCCAGGTTGACTCCAAAAACCCTATGTCATGAGCCAGGTGAACTTCGATAGCTCTTTCCTATCTGGCATGTCAAGATGTCCCACTCTCTCATTTTGTGCATTTCCTGTCCCAAAGCTGGGATCAGCTATTTCTCTAGGAAATCCTGGTTTCTTTTCATGAGAAACAGTATTTCAAGACAACAATCTGGGTGCTGATTTCAACATTGTTTCTAGGTCTTTCCTGTGGACAGAGACGGGAAATACTATGTGCATATATATGCATGTATGTAAATTATATTTGCATGTGATGAAACGCATCATCAGTTTTGTTATACTGTCATTTCCAATTCAAATTCAGGACTGCTGGATTTTTAGTTAACCTCATATCTACTATATCTCCTTTTTTCCACACCAAGAATGCTGATTCTCAAGGACACAGGATGATACAATTAGAATGTTTCTAATTATACTGATACTGTCATAAATGATTATAATCACTGAAGAATTTTCTCCGTATATTCCATCACCATTCTCCATTTTCTTTTTAAGACTTTTTTTTATTGGGGAATTGGGGGAAGGGGAACAGACAAGTTGCTGTCGTTTTGTTCTTCAGTCTAGTGGAGGACGTTGCTTCACTGGCCCAAGTTGGCACCATCATTGCGCTCTTCCCGGGCAAGGCAGATCAGTTGCCGGCTTCTGGACGGCCGCTCACTGCGGCTGCTGGCCGCTCACGCTGGCTGCTGGCTACACACGGTAGCCCATGGCAACCCACTGCCACAGGGGCTGCAACCTACGCCGTTGCCGGCGACTCATGGCAGCCCAGCTCCAGGTTGAGCTGTTGTTCAGCATCTTAGCTGTGGAGGGCAGTGTCACTGGCCCTCATATGTGGGATCCGAACTGGGGCCCTCTGGCGTCCCAAGCCAGTTCTTAACCATTGCGCCACTCGGCCGGATCCATTCTCCATTTTTTTAAATGGTTGAACTAATATCTACATTGTTCGATCACATAGCCATGGCGTACTATTTCGCTCTCGCTCTCGCTCTTTAACTGGAGAACAGTGTGTTTTTCCAGGACCCCTCAACTCCCAGTTAAGTAGTTGTTTTAATCTAGTTGTGGAGAGTGCAACTCAGTGGCTCATGCAGGGATTGAACCACCTGAGCTAACAGGCTGCCCCTATATTTTCTCTTTTTAACCCTCATTTAGTTTTAGTTATATCAATCACTATATACTTAATACCACTAGTCCTTATGTTGATGTCTCTCGAGTCATTTAGGTGTTCTGAAGCATGTTCTCTAGAAGATTCCTCAGGAAGAACTCATGGGAACAATCTTCCCTGAGTTCTTGCATGTTGATAATCACTTTCCCTGTGTTCTTCAAATCTGAAACGGCAATTTTGCTGGGTGTAAACTACTTGACCCACTTTCCTTGAGTATCAGGTAATTTTACTCGAATGTGTTTTGGTGTTAGTTCTTTGGGTTGGTCTTCTCAGGTACAAAGGGTGCTCTTGAAAATAGTTTCAAAAAAATATATCAGAAAGGTTTTCTGACATTATAATTCTGCATTTCTTAAATATAATTCTCCATTCTCTCTTTTTTTTCTTTTAACTTTTTCCTTGTGCACAGATTTATTGAGGGAGGGCTCTCAGAGAAACTGCGGGGAAGGTGCTGGGGAGAAGTCCAGCCTCAGCCTGACCCCAAGGGGAGCCCTGGAGCATAACTCGCCCCACAGAGGCGGTTCCCCCCAAAAGGCAAGGGGCTGGCGGGTGGCCTCCATCTCCCAGATATCTCCTCGGTCAAGAGCAAGCTTTGAGAGGAGGGTCCAGGTGTGAGAGATAACAGCCAGCACCTGCAGCAGCTGGGGCTGGGGGTTGGGGTGGGGCAAGAAAGCAGCAGCTGCTCAGTGTGGGGTGTTGTAATAAAAGGAAGCGAGGCTCTGCCCCCACTGCTGCTCAGGCTGTTCCATGTCTGCACTGTGCGTGTTCACGGGATGGGAGGAGCTGGGGTGGTGGGAGTGGGAAAAGGAACTAAGGAGAAGTTAGGTAATCGAGGTCTCTTTCTGGTGTGACCCTGGAGGAGTGGGAGTGGGGGTG